TGCTTGATGAGGACGGGCCAGGTGCCCCAGCCAAAGGAGCCGAATAGGGCAGCGCCGAAGCCCGCAGCGAGGCTCATACAATGTGCTTGGGTGCACGGCCACAGCGCGCGGGCGAACTTTCTCAGAGAAGAAATCAAACATCACTGGTGGCTTGTCTGTTCTCTAGAGGCAGACTCCCTAGGGTGGGCGACGGCTAGCGCACCACACACATCTCCTTAAAATCCCTGTGTGGTGGCGGCGTGCCGTCCTCCCATCCCTCCCTTGGGTTCTCTGTTTTCTTTCTTTCTTTGTTTTCTTTCTTTTAAATGAAATGTGCCCATGCCCATGCCCATGCCCAGACCGCTAACTCGAGCGAGCCCAAACAGGGCCGTGCCGCTCCTCTCCACCGTGATGCTCCTCGCCATCATCGTCACCACGACGAGTCAGCTGCGGACGGGCGTCGCCCGCGACATGCGCACGTAGCCCGACAACTTTCAAGCACGCAGGCAGAACCCTGAGAACGTCGCCATCGTGTAGCAGGCAGGCCTGGCTAGCCGCGTGTTGGGGAGTAGTGTTTGTTTGTGTGGTGTACTCTCTCTCCACTCAGTGTATATACAGTGAGTGAGCAGCGCACGATAAAAACAATGAAAAAACCTCGAAGCCCTGGGAGCCCTCCCCCTACTGTTTTAAAAATCCACACACTAGGCACGGGACTGGCGCGCACTGGCACTAACACAGGAGAATTTTACAAACAAGCTCGCTCGCACGACACTAGGCACGGGACTGGCGCGCACTGGCACTAAGAAGAATTCTAAAATTCGCCTCTCTCACACAAAAACACAACCCCTGACCCAAGCAAGACGCACAAGCAAGCACAGACAGTCGAGAAGGGAAGAGACAGCAACGACAGCACACTGAGCGAAGAATTCGCGACGATCTTCGTGCACGTCCGCTCGTCCAAGCCCATCTGCTATGGCCGAACTTTCAGAGAGCCGAAAGCAGGCAAGACCGGCAACGCTCATACTCTAACTCTGAAAAATCCTCCAAACTCTTCCCCCATCTCAAAAACTCTCTCAAAAAGAATCCTCTGACGCAAAAGACCGACTTTGCCACAAACTATCCCGAAACAAACAACCCCGAAAGCATTTCCTCCTCGTGACTTGTCACCAGGAACGGCGAATCCGTGTATGATGTGGCGCGCCCGTATCGCTGCACACCGGCCATCCGAATTCGCAGCCTCCACAGTTTGCGCAATATATGCGAGAACATCTTCGCTCCAAATGAGACTCGGAGGAAAGTTTTTTTGGAGCACTTGGAGTGCAGTCATTAGCCTCACATCCAGGGCCGGGGAGCTAAGAAGCGCACCCAGCGGGCCGGATGATCGGGATCGGGCTACGGGCAAGAAAGCCCTAGCCCCGGGGGTGCGCGTTCGCAGGGAAAGGGCCGTAAAGTAAACACGGGTCTCCGAGGGTTAGTTCCGTGTACCGGGTTTCCCCTTAACTGCAGAACGCCCCCTCTACTCGGAGCTAACGGACACACAACACTGTACTCCACGCACGTACACGGATACGCCTCATGTGCGCCCGCCCGACTCCGGTCCCAGAGTCCCTTCCCTCGCCCGTCAGGGCGAGCCCTCGGCTCGTTCCGGTCCCTTGCTCGCCTTCCGGGCGTTACCAGACTGCCTCTGTAGTCGTTTTTGATGCCTCTTCCTCGGCTGTGGCCTCGACTCCGCTTCGCCTTCGACTGGTACCGCAGCCTCCGAGAGCGTCGGCGGCCCGGTCGGGGTCTCCCCGGGCGAGGACGGCGGCATTGGATCGTGTCGCCACCCCTCCCAGGGAGGACGGGCCCGCTCTCCCTGGTCGGCGAGTCGCGCCCGCATCCGCGGCCTCTCTATCGTTCTCGGCTCGCCCTCCCCCTCCGCCGGCTCCTCACTAAGCTCGGGGAGGCGCGGTCCCTCTTGTCGTAGATCACGGCGGTCCAGCCGCCGCCGCGACGGGTCTACCCCCGGTGGGCTCGCACGACCCGACTCCCCTCGCAGAGGCCGAGTCAGCTCGACTCTCACCTCCCCCGACAGTTGACTCCAGGCCTCACCCGGGGCCCTCCGGTCCCGGCCTTCCGGTCCGCCGGCTGACCCGCTGTCTCCCCACGGCACCCCCCCCCCTCGGACCCCTCCCCCGGGTACCCCAGCCTCCGACGGGCCGGCTCCGGAACGCCGCCGATGCGGCGTATGCCCCTCCCCCCTCGCTCTTCTCCCTCCCGAGGTCTTGCAGCTGCCCCTGTATGTGCGACACAATCCTCTCGTGCGAAGTGGTGGGGAGCTTCTCCCCCGTCGCCTCGTCTACGTCGAGGAGGAGGCCATCCACCTTCCCGCCCCCTCCCCTCCCGCCCATTTTTTTTTCTAAATCAGTCTTGCAAATTAACGCGTACGTGCGGGGTTCGCTCCGACCTTCTACCGAAAAATAGCCTCGCTGCCGACCTTCTACCCATACATATACGGCAATAAACGGTTTACGGCTTTAGTTAGCATCGCTCCCGGCATTCTACTTACGTAGAACGAACACGAAGAGCTCGGACTCTGTATGACAAACACTTGATCACACACACGAAAACAGAGAGCGCGCGGGTTCTCAAGAATCGATTGACGTAAATACAACAAATATGCCATGTTAAAGAGTGCAACGCCTTCATTGGGGGTGTGTTTGCGCGATTGACATGTACATGTGAGGGTACTTTGCAACCTCGCGCACTCTTCGTGAGACGCAGAAAGTCCCGATAATGTTATGCTTGCTCTGTAGCATATTCTCGGCATGCACATGCACATGTGCATCATTGTATGTGCCTGCAGTCCACTCGCAGACGGCAGGGGTCCTCGTCGATGACGGATCGCACCACGCTGCTAAAACTCGTCCAGCTGAGGTTGTTGTTCTGATTCCACGCCCGCCTAGCGCGCGAGGCTCGGAGCGTGACATCGGAAAGATTGCCCTCCCCCCCAGCGTGCAATGCGCCTACGACAATGCGCTTGAACCGCAGCGTCGGCTCCACACGCTGCCGAAACAGGTCCCGCCATCCAACGTCCGGGTTGTCCTCAAATCCTCGGTTGATTGCCTCGACCAAGGTGCGGCCCGAGCGGAGATGCATGGCGTGTATGCAGTCGCCGCCATTCATGCAGACGAGCATATCCACTGCTCGCACGCGCGCGATCGTCTCACGTAGGCTGAGTGTTGCAAAGGGAACGGCATTGCAGTGGATGGACCATCCCCGGTGCCGAAAGCTCGGGCACGCTGCCAGGAGCTCCGGGATATTGGCGATGTCCCGACCGTGACTTGACCGCCGGATGGTGAATAAGACTCTCAGCCGCTGCCTGGTCGTGTAGAAGCTCCTCGATTCCGCGCGAAGGTCGTCGAAGCCGAGCGCCGTATCCAAAGCCTGGCGTGCCAACCAGGCATCGCGGCCAAAGACGTGGCCAGGCCTGCACAGGCCCAAGCGCGCGAAGCACTCCCGCTTCGCACAGCGTGGGAGCGGCTGGCCCTTGACACGCGACGCGCCCAAGACGTCGTCACGCTCGAAGGTGCAGATGCCATCTGTGACAGCGGCGAGCGGTTCCCACGACTGCGGGAAGAGCGCACCGGAAAGCATGAGCCGCTCGCGCCCGAGTGTGCCCTGGTGCAGTGCCGCGCCCAGAGGTAGGATGGTCGTGAGCTGGACGTCACTGAACCCCACCTCCCACTTTGGCCACAGCATTCTCGCGGCCCTGGTTTCCACCGGCTCCGGCGGGAGTTGCCCGCTGACGACGGAGACGTCTTGCTCCAGGTGCCTGAGCGGGCCGAATGGATTGAGGGGGTCTTGGAGCCCGTGCATGTGCTCGAGTGCGATGGCGACATCGTCCGAGGCGTGCGGGCCATGCACTTCTATTTGGAAAGGGCGGTCGCGCATCGGGCACCGCGACGAGCAGCGAGGCTGCGGCCGGCCGAGCGTCACGCACGCCTGGCGAAGGTAGCTGCAGTCCACCATGGGCCGGTCGCCAACCTTGCGACGGCGATTGTTGACGTGAGGGAAACGGACCCGCTGGTGCAAAAGAAAGGAGTGGTTAGGTGACAGCAGGCTTTGGTTTGCATGCTGCAAGTAGGTCACCGCACGCCCCTTCCAGTAGTTTGACGACTGAAATGTGCCACAAGAGACCCAACAGAAGCAGCCCGCCGGCTGGCGTAGCGTAAAGGCCGGCCACTGCGTGCACTTCCTAGCGCATTGCCGCACGTGGGTGGCGCTGTGCCTGCGGTGAGCCTCGGCGAGTGTCTCGTCTTCGCCGCAATGACGCGGCACGCAGCGCCAGCCAGTGAGCTCGGTGCACTTGAGAGTCGCCGCTGTCGTGTGCATGGACAGTAGGACGAGCGCTGTCGGTCGTCGCCTCTTTTTCGTCGTCGGCGCGCTGCCCGCCGGCCGTCGTCGCTCCATTCTGATGGTGAGAACGGCGTCTTTTCGGGGAAGTGTTTTTGAGAAAAACGTTAGTGCTGATCTAGAGATCTATCAGAATGCCATCGCCAGTATGTGCTAAGGACAACAGGTTGTGACTCTCAAGCAGTCGTATTCGTAACTACAGTTTCGTGATGGTCCGAGAACTCAACTTCGTAGCAATTACTAGTTCTGCAGCGTGCACCTCAATCCTGTACCGTGTTTGTTATGACCCCCCCCAATGAACACACCAGTGAGGGTGGGCGAGACGATCGAGGCGTCCCGTACCATGCGGAACCGACCCTATCCAGTGCTCAAGTGCTCAAGGTCTGCAGACTTCGCCGACCTGTTTAGATTTTAATTCGGGTCGGCAACGAGCGCTTCTGACAGTGCCGGACGGTGGAAAATTGGCCAGGGTCCTATACGAGAAGAGGGCCCTTAGGGGCCTAGAGAACACTTTCCCTTTTCTCCCAGTCAGCTAAAAGTACAGTCCGAGAAATTAATCTGCGGCGCCATACTTGGTTGGGAGCGTGCGTCCGATCGGCAATCCGCACACGCAAGTTGGCGCGACAATGTCGAGCCACCCGCGCGAGCACCGCCCCGTCACGGCGATGGACTGGGCCGCTCTGGCGCTCGGCGACCACTCCGCCCTCCGCACGGGCGCGCCGCTGCGCGCGCCGGTTTACAGGGGTGCTGGCGCTCCGGCTCCAGCCGAGAGCCTGAGTGAGCCGCTGATCACCGCCCCTGGCCCGGCGATTGAGGACTTTCCCAGCCTGATGGACGCGGTTGCGCCTCCTCCGGCGACGACCGCGTCCGGCTACAAGCGGATCCCGGAGTCGGAGCGCGTGCAGGCGGCAGTCGAGGCGGCGTGCGTTGCCGCCGAGGCCAGAATGGGGAAGAATGCGGAGGGCATCGTCTCGTGCCTGCGCTTCTCGGCGCCCGCGATCGGCGTCGGCTGGCGGGTCCTCTTCGTGCTGGTCAAGCTCTACGTGTGGCTCTTCAAGGTGGGGTACTGGGTGTACGAGCGGCTGCCAAAGGCGCTCGCCCGCTTCATCTTCGGGCTGACGCTCGCCATGTTCGGCGGGACCTACGTCGTCACCCTCGCCGCGGTCGAAGGCTTCCACAAGCTCGGTGGCGCCAAGCTGTGGGGTGAGATCGTGTACATCTACGAGCAGGTGCTCATTGTCGAGGCGGCGAGCACCAAGGACGACGACCGTGACGAGGACGCGGACGGCATCGCGGACGTGGACCAGATCGCGCCGCACGAGCTGCTCCGGCGCAAGACGGTGGTCGCAATGGAGGCCATAACAGAGCCCGACCGACTGCAGACGGCCGTGGGCGCTTTCTGGACCGCCTATCTGGCGCGTGCCTCAGTCAGATCAGTGGGGAGTGCTCGCTCCGCACCCATCCCTCGCTGGCGTGTCGCAATCTAGGCGGTGCTGGCCTCGCTGAAGGTCATGTTCGCGCGGACGGTGGCGCTGGCGCTCGGGATCGCCGAGATGCTCAACCTGCCGTGCACGCGGGTGCTCGCGCCCGTCATCGCCCTGTGCCTTGGCCCAAAGACCAAGCACTGGGCCCCGACGATCGTCTCGAGCATGATCAACGTCATCGCCATCATCTTCGCGTGGTACATCCAGATGGTCATCTCGGCCTTCTACTCGGGGCTGCGCGGGGGGCGCATCGCTGGCAACGCCTTTGTGGACCTCGTCTCCTTCACAAAGGTCGAGATACTTTGCGACTCGCTGCGCGACGGGTTTTGCCCCAACGCGGAGTTTCTCAACTTTTTCAACAACAAGATTGGCGGTGAGGGGCTGGAGCATGTGATGCAGTTCCTCAAGGAGCGCGAGAGAGACAAGAGCAAGATCCTGCCAAAGCTGAACCGCGTACGCGTGGGCAAGAACAAGCTGTCGTCCGAGCAGCAGCAGGCGCTGAAGGAGCTCTGCTCGGAGCTCGGCCTCAAGTGTGAGACGTGAGAGGGTGGGCGGACACTTTTAGGACAGTCGTGCGCGACTTGGACTAGAGCGACACGTGATTTAGTCGAATTACAGTGGCTCACGAGATGTGTTTTGCTTTTGGGCTGGTCGCCTGATTGCGTCGTGGGCGCGTCCAAGCTGCAACCATAGCGAGCACATGCACATGTTGTGCATGTGCAGGTAAGACGGGAGAGAGTCGTGCGAAGAGAAGAGCAAGAGGCGCCTGTAGAGCTGTATATGCTGCGCTCAACGGAGTAGTGTCGCAGAGAGCATCGTGATCGTCCGTCGAGCGCGTCGTCCGCAGCTCGTGGACGTGGTCGTGTGCACGCGCTCTGGACTGCACTGGGGGGCACAGGAGACACCCAGACAGGTGTGCCGGCGGCTGGTGGCACCGTGCCGGTGGCGGGGTGCGGCACTGTGCCCCCCGGGTGTGGGCGCGCGGAGGGACCGCGGCGCCGACGATATTTTGCACCTTCAAACAGCTCTCCCCCCTCTGCACCACACACACATGATGAGCTCTCAACTCGTCTTTCGTTCGTGTGTACAAATCTTCTCCAGAGAGCCGACGTCTGCCCTACGCAGCCGCAGCCCGCGGGTTGAAGGTGACGCGCGCCGTCTCGCCGACCTCGAGCACGAACCGCTCGCCCGGCGCGAATAGGAGCACGCGGCGCGAGCCGGGCCGAGACGAGAGCAGCGGCGCGCGCCCGTCGCTCCGCTCGACGGTCCTCGTGCCGCACTTGGACCAGCAGTCGAAAATGGCAACCTCGTGCGCCGTGCGGAGCGCGATGAACTGCACGCGGCCGATGAGCAGGTTCTCGCCCTCCACCCCGCCACGCTTCTCGTGCCCGACCACGATGTCGCACAGCCCAAACCGGCCACACAGCACCGAGCCGCTCCCCGCCGCCTGCAGCTCACTCGTGCGCGGGCCCGTCCCGCTCACGAGAAACTCGAACCCCGCGCCGCTCCCATCGCCGCCCCCACCGCCGCCGCCGCTGCTTGGCCCCGGTGCCGCGCACGCCGCCGGCGCGGCGGCAGCGCCGTGCCGTTCACGAGTTCGGCGCGGGCTGTCTGCAGCCGCCGCCGCGGCGCCGCTGCGGCCGCGCGGACGGCAGCCAGCAGCCTCGCCGCTCAGGCTCTCCATCGACGCGGTGGGCTCGGCGCCCAGCACTGGAACAGGCCGCGTGCTGCCAGCCCCGCCCGCGGCCCTGCCCGCCGCGCCGCTGCCCGCCGCACCGCCGCCCGCCGCGCCGCTGCCCGCGCCGCCTCGAGGAGAGGCGCGGTCGATGAGACGATTGAGCTCGACGACGACTTCGAGAATCTGCGACTTGACGGCCGACCAACCCTCCGCCCAGCCGTCGGCTTGCAGCCGCCGCATTAATTGGTCATAGAAGCCGCGCAGGTCGTCCTCCTGCGCCTGTGACATCTGGCGCGCCGGCTCCTCGCGCTGGGAGCACATCGTGCTGAGTAGGCACTGCGAGACGCGCTGCGTCGCGCTCTGCTGCAGGCCGGGAGGCATGCTGCAGACCGCAGCTGCAGCCGGCCGCTTGCCCGATGCCGTCGCGGCTGCCGCGGGCTCCGCAGAGTTTGAACCCGAGCTCCGCCGCCGCTTGGCTGCGGGTGCCGCCGCGCTGCCGCCGGCTGCCTTGGCGCCGCCGCCGGCCCGGCGAGGCATGTGTTTGTACACCACACACACCGGCCGGGGCCGCGGCGATTCCTACTCTCCCGGGTACCCGCTGTATCGGGGTTATGCGGGTTTACGACCTGAGCCACAAAAATCGCACACGCGGAGCGGCTCAGGGGCCCAGGAAGCCGCGGAATCGCGAGAGTGGCATCAGGAACGACCTGCTCCTCACAGCTCCAACGCGTCGTGTGCTCGCAATCTAACGCCGCGGCCTCCGCCTTCGGCATTGCTCTTTGCGAGGGCGCGAGCGTGGCGGCGTGTTGGGCGGCGGCTGCCCGGCGGGCGTGTTGGAGGCCATCCAAATTATTAAACCGCAAGTCGGCTGCTGTTAGCGAGCCCATGACGGGCAACAGGCCTGCCCACAACCATGCCCCCATCAACGCCAATTATTTTCATTACGAGCGCTGCGACGACAAACAAAACAACTGCGACGCCATCCTCTTTTCGCCTTGGCCCTTGCGCGCTGAGGCGCGAGTCTAGAAGGGTTTGTCGGGGTGGCCATATTTGGAGCAGCGAGACACTGCTGCGTCGAGCCTGATCGACTCCGTTCGTACTAGAGACTCCCCGTTCGTCTTCAGCATGCCATCGTAAGGACTACACTAAATAGATGCCCCGCAGGGGGGCCAAGCGCCGCAGTGCGCGCTAGCGGCCAGCGGCGGCATCACGCTCGGCAGCGGCGGAGCGGCAGCGGTCCCCAGCGGCTGCCCGTGCCAGGCGGACTCCCGCAGGGTGCCGCACGAAGGCGGAATGGAGGGGGCCGCCGGGAGGCCAGGCAGCTGCGGCGTGTCGGCATGGGGCCGGCTGCTACCATCGCCAGCGACAGTAGGGGCGTCCCTCCAGGGGAGCGCGGCATGAGCAGTGCCTGAGTAGAAGATGTACGGCGCCGTGGGCCCCTCCTAGTCGACAGTGCGGGTGCGGGACGGTTGCCGGGACATCTATCATCTTTTTTTCTAGCGGGAGGAGCGCCGAGGGAGAGAAACACCACCGGGGGGGAAAGAATTTTACAACAAAACTCCCTCGCACAACACTGGGAAAAAGAAATAAAGAAAACAGACAACCACCCAAGGGAAGGGATGGTTCTCTCTTTTCACACCACCGGGGAGGGGCAAAGCAGAAACAAACGGAACTGTTGAGCGCTGTCAGAGCGGTGTTTCGACACCGATATCGTTCAAGGAACGCTGTTCAAAAAAAAATCGTGTCGCTGTTCACGCTTCACAAACAAACTCTCTCTCTCTCTCGCTTCACAGGATGACACAGGAAGTGTAAGCTGAGCAGATACAGCTAATCCTTTGTGTTCACACCTGCAAGAGGTGTGAACAATAACGATTTCGGCCTTACCTTTTGGCATGCCAATAGCGTGCTAGCAAGTCGTATTGCCACCGGCTTTTCTTCCGCAACAGCACTGCCGTCAATACACACATGCATATGCGCGGAGGCTCTCTGCTCCTCCTCTCTGTGGGCACCGCAGCGCTCCGCCTCCCGCCTCCGGCAGCGTGCGCGCGGCCGACTCTCGCCTCGCCCGTCCGCGCCGCGAATCCGGCGCTCTCGGCTCCTCGCGCCGCCGCTGCACGCCGCACCACCACGCCGGTGCTCGCGGCTACTGCTCCACCGACACCGCTGACGCAGCTCGCGTCGCGGCTGTGGTCGTGGGGCTGGCTCAACTGGTGGGTGCAGGGAGCGCTCTCCGTCGTCGGCGCTGTCCTCCTCCTCTTTGCCAACTCGGTGTCGTCGGCGAGTGTGAGTGCGCCGGCGCTTGCGGGCCGCGCGCTCGCGCTGGCGGCATGCGCCACCTCGTTCGCGTCGACGTTCTGGCAGTGGGGCTACACGCGGCTGGCCGTGCGGATCCGCAGGCGGCCCGAGCGCTGGACTGCCGCGAGCGCCGCGTCGAACGCAGCAAGGGCGCTGTACGTCGGCACCGCGCTCAACCTCGTCGGGATCGGGATCGCAATCGTGGGCGCGGAGGCGATCGTGGGCAACCTCGCCGCCAAGGCGCTCACCCAGGGCTCGGCCGTCGTCCTCGACGGGCGCGCCGCCGCCGCCACCGTCCAGGCCCTCGACGTGCTCATCGTGCAGGCAAACACAAACACGATCGCCGCCTGCTTCTTCGGCCTGCTCACGTCGATGCGGCTCAAGCTGGCGGCGGCGACGGCCGAGCGGGCCGCCGAGGCGTGAGCCGGCCGCGAGGAGCTCGTCGGGGTCGTCTCGGCAAGAGACCCACACCCGCTGGAGCGCGGGAGACCCCGCGAGTGTCGATCAAAGTGACATATGAGAGTCAACGTTTTGTGTGCGCGTGTACGAGTGTCCTTTCGGCTCGGGTCTCGGGAGCGAGGCGTGAGGGCGTGACAGTGTGAGCGTACTTTCACTCTCCAAAGTACTTTCACTCGTGACGATATGCGCGACAAAATGAGGACAATCGACAACGAAAACGGGGGGGCCCGGCCGCGCGCTACGCTCGAGAGAACGGCGCGCGGGCCGGCGCAGTCCGGGTCCGGCAGCGCGGGTGTCGCCAAACGAACACGCCGACCAAATACCAAAGTATCGCATATCAGCCGATGGCTGCGGTTGCGGCGGCAGCGGCGGCAGGGCACGCCCCAAGCGCACGGCGCAACAGGCGCCCTCAGCGTCCGAGGAGCGCGCGGCGCGAATAGACGTACCATTGTGCGCGGGGCGTCCTGCGTGCGGCGCGGCGGGGCCTACCGCGCCTTGTCGGCCTCCTTCAGCGCGTGCGGGAAGAGCAGCGGCACCGTGCGCTGCTTGAAGGTGTTGACGAGGAAGAATGTGGTGGAGATGAGGGCGATGCGGTAAAACAGCCCCTTGAAGAGACCCTGCACCACGCCGTGCTCGGCCGCGATGGCCTTCCCCGTCTGCACGATCCCGTCGTACTTGGCGCGCCCCAAGTCACCCTGCATGCACGACTTGATCGTGTCCATCGGGTGAGTGATGACGCCGGCGAGCAGCGCGCCGCTCAGCGAGCCGGCGGCGAGCGCCGTGTTGCGCTCCCAGCCGGAGGAATCGACGAGCTTCTGCTGGATCAGCGGCGTCACGCCCAGCATCGACATGGTAAACATCGCCTCGCGCCCCATCGTCATCGTCGCGCCGCGCGAGAGCGAGGAGGCGCCGTACTCTTGCACGATCCTCGCGGGAGTGCCGAGCGTGCTGCCGCCGAAGCGCTGCTGCTGGATCATGCACAGCTCCCAGATGCTGCACGGGATCCCCGACGCGAGCCCGCCCAAGAAGGCGCCGCCCACCTGCACCCCGTCCTGGCCCATGCCCGAGCCCGCGAGGAGCTTCTGGAAGAAGCCGGTCGCGCCAAACTGGACGGCGTTGGTGCCGCCCAGGTTCATGCACGCCATCGGCAGGCCGCGGTACACCTGCAGCGGGCTGAACGAGCCCTTCGCCGTCGTCCAGGTCGTCGAGATCGGCAGCCCTTGCTGCTGCGTGTTTTTCCAGACGAGGAAGGGGTAATTGCACGACTTGGCCATCACGCCCGTCACCATGCCGAGCAAGCAGTTCTCGCCACCGGAAAGGCGCTGCAGCGCCTCGCGGTCGCTCATCACGCGGCTCACCCACTCCACGCGCTGGCGGTTCGCTCGAGGGGTCGGGAGGCTGGGAGGCGAGCGGGTGCGCGGCCCCCGCGTCCTGGGTTTGATGAAAAAAAGTTTGCTTTTTGCTTATTTTCACCGAGAAGGCAGTCCCTGCACCGCGCTGCGAGCCTGTCGTGTCCCTTGTCAGGCGCAGGAGAGTTTTCTTTCTTTCTCTTCCCACCCCTGCGAGCCTTGATGTCGATTGTGACGACACGCCCCCCCCCCCCCTCCCGACGGTGTGCCCGCCGTTTGTCGTCGGGCGCTCGTTCGCTCATGCTGTCCACTTTCGTCGCTGCGGTGTTGGCCTTTGCGTCAACACTTTCAGACGTTCAGGTCATCGAGCTTGCCGAAGCCGTGCGTGGGCTCATGCGAGAGCCCGCCCCGCTTGACTCGGAGCACGCCGGATACCTCGAGTCGGCGCTGCCCAAGATTGTTTCCTTCGCAAAGGCGTCGGAACAGGTTAAGCAGGAGGTGGTCGAGCGGATGGCGACACTTTCTTTACACTGGGCACGGGACTGGCTCGCACTGGGAACGAGAAAAAAACGCCGGGCCGCTCGGGGGGGGGGTCATAACAAACACGGTACAGGATCTCGAGGTGCACTTTTGTTGTTAGGGTCTTAGCGAGAACGAGCGGGGAGAGGGCACGGAGAGGGGGTGGGAAGGGTCACCCACAGCATTAGATAATAACAACCCAAGACAACCCGAAGCCGCCCGAAAGGAAAAATCTTGCGCCGCCTTCGATCGGCAGAGCGATATGGACACCATGCTTCAGCCAGACCGACCACAGACCGACTCCGGCTCCTCTGGCGCTGGTGCTCGCTCTCCCGCCGCAGCGTCTCCATCTGCGCCGGTGGAGCGTGCAAGACGCTGGCTCCGCGGGCGTGATGGAGGCAGCATGCGCCATTCTGTCCTCCTCACACGAGTCCGTCTCTGTCCTCGCCGGGGCATGCTGCGGAGTGTGTCCACGCGGCAATGTCGTCGTCTTTGACGACGCGGGCGCGTGCTGCCTCCGGCTGACTACTCGCGGCCGACGCGGCGGAGGCGTCCGGCGACGAGGAGGCCGCGAGGGCGGCGCGCGACGAGTATGAGTGGCTGGCGTGGTCTGAGTGACAGTGAGGCGCCAAAATTGGGCACATCGATGTGGTGTCTCGAGATGTGTGTGTAAATAAATAAGTAAAAACGGACACCTCTACTGTGAGATGGGTAAAAAGGAACAGGTCCCCGCCCTTGCGATCTTTGTGCAGGGTTCTTTGTGGGTGTGGTCGGCGACTAGCCGGGGTCGTCCTCCCGATGCGCGATGGGGGACTAGCACTAGCCGTCTTCCACATGGTCCCTCGGGTCCCTGCTGCTCCTAATCTCTTCGTACATCCTCCTGCTGATCTCCGCAACGTCCTGCTCCCTCCCTCGTCTCGCTCTGCGCGTCTGCTCCGCCTCACCGTCGTCTGCCCTGCGTCGTCTGGTGTGACGGGTCCTGATATATGTGTGTGTGTCATTACAAAAAGTCAACACTATGCGCGACGTCGCTCGGGACCTCTGGCTCTGCACTCTCTGGGCAGAGAGACGCTGTGCCTGTGGCGTGTGGGCGCAGAGGAGGTGCGGCCCCTCCGTGGTAGAATGCCATAGCGCGCTATACTCTACAATACTACATGAATCTCTGAGACGTCTATAGATGCCGCGCACGGCGCGGGCTTGCGCGTTGCGGCCACTCTCGACGCGGCTTTCACGAACGTATTCGCGCATCGCTGTGACAGATCACGCCCAGCGGCAACAATCGCATGCGACTCACACCTTCTAGCTAGACGAGACACCGACCGCCGCAACACAGCCTGGGTCGACAAACATGAATTCAACATCTGTCCGGGTGGACCCGCAATCACTCAGCACGTACGTATAGCAACAGGCACGACCCACTGCATCCATGGCATGCGACATGCGTACTCCATGCGAGGTATGCTCCATCACGCCAAACCAGCAGCTCGTCGCCTATGGAAGGAAGGCAGAGGCGCCGTTGCAAGAATTGAGAAGTCACGATCTCGGGCCGAGCGTCTCAGCCGGCCTACCACAGCCCTGGCTGCTGCTGCTGTTTTCCGCGGTTGACGGATGCCATGGCGTCACAGAGCTCGGTGAAGGTCATGGAGTCTGCCCGGTCACCGTCCGGAAGGCGCGGCACCGCCTCGGAGAGGTCGGCGGGAATGATGCTGTCGAGCGCGGCGGTGCGGGCTGGCTGAGGCAAGAGGAGCGGAATACGTGCCTTGCTCACACGCAGGGGCACTCGCGAGAAGATCACAGAGCGCTGTGCCGTCGGCGCGGCGGCTGCGAGCGCGACAAAGGTGAAGAAGACACTCACACTCATCGTGTTCCAGCAAAGGCACTCCAAGGGGGGACGGAATTCGGCAAAGTTTCTCTCGGCCGAAGTTCGCGTTGTGTATTCTTTTTTTCTCTACCTCAGTGTATGTAGCTCTTACGTACATTCCCGTAGGAGACTCTACTGACAGGGTTTGCGATGAGGAGCGACCCGAAGGGTTTCTCGGAGGTTAGTGCACCACTAACCGCCGAAGCGCAAGCGCTGGGAGCAAGAACACTACGACCTGGGTCGGGCTCATACTAGTAGTCCTAGTGTCCTCCTCCCCCGAGCCGACGTTCTGGCTCAGCGAGGCTGCTGCGGAGCACTCGCGGACCGGCTCTTCTGGTCCAGCGAGGCCGCTGCGCCTGCGGGGCACCCGGCGGCTCGGGTCACTTCTCATCTTTTTTGCGGAACTCAAGCTGAAATTCTGGAAAACCGTGGCCGGCCCCTGCCCTGCCCCTACCTACCTACCTACCTACCTACCTACCTAACTTATGGGAAACTAAAAAAGAAATCACTGGAAAGGGTGAAGGTGAGGTACTATACGTAATACGAACTAAAGTGATGGTTGGTGGGCCTTCCCCGGGCACAGCCTTTCGGTTCGTGAAGGGTCGGTGCGTGTCGTGACCCCCTGGAACACCCGATCCGCAGCTGCTCAAGGAATGCTGGCGGTGGCGTGCTGCTCACCACCTACTCAGTTGCGGTGCGAGACCTGCAAGAGCTCACGCGTGCTCACCCGAAGACGGTCACCTTTGATCACGCGTACCGCCACCTGTCGAAACAACAAACCCCCCCCTCTCGACCTGCTTCGCCTGGCACAAGCGCGAACAAGCTGTATTACTCGCCTCGGCTCGGGTTCCCTTGACTTCACCCGCGCCACCCGCATCACCACCGGCAACTCGGGCGACTCTCTCTCCGCCCGCTGCTGGGAGCTCGCGATGCTTTTAAGCAATCTAACTCTGCACATTTGGGCAACATCCGTTCACTGGAGCACTTCGCCACCGAGGTCTAACCTAACAGGGTGTCCCGCCACCAACCACAACGACCCCTGGATGGAATTGCGACTCGCCGCTTTCCTCCCCGCTGTCTGTGATTCTCTCTCTCTCTCTCTCTCTCTCTCTCTCTCTCTCTCTCTGTGTGTGTGTGTGTGTGTGTGTGTGTGTGCAAAAGAATTTCAGAAACAAACTCGTGAATGGGCGGGCCCGGGGTTGTGCGTTTATGTGAACATAGCGCCATCGGACGTATTTTTTGCGCAGCGGCGCCGGCCAGGCGCCCGCCCCGGCGGTGAGCGACGCGTAGCGAGCGAATCGCCGGGGCGGGCGCCTGGCGGCTCCGCGGAGCTCCTTTGGCTTGGCGGGACGCGGGCACCTCGCGAGAATGCCAGCGCCGCCGCGGTCGCCGATTCGTGTTACCGCCATCTCTCTCCGGCGGCGTCCCGACCGCTGGCGCGCGTGCGAGGACCACCTGCGAGGCCTGCTTGGCGACGGCTTCGACATGTTTGAAGGCACAGACGCAAAGGCGGCGGCAGGAGACGACTCCACAGCTGTCGACCGCGTCGCCGCACTCGAGGCGGCGACCGGGTGCACCGTCTACCGCGGCTGGCCAATCACAGAGGTGCGGCACGTGCGGCGCTGCTACACGTCGCTCTCGCCGCAGCTCAGCGACGCCGAGGCGTGGATGTCGTACGAGCGCAAGGTTGCTGCCGCGTGGCGCTCGGACCGGTCGCGCCTCTACCTCGACTTTTTTCTGCGACACCTCACGCTCGGCGACGTGGGCGCGGCGCTGTCGCACCTGCGCGTGGCGGAGCGAGGCCACGCCGAGGGCCTCTCGCTGCAGGTGGTCTTTGAGGACGACGTGCGACCGTCCGCAGAGGCGCTGCCCGCGCTGCTGCGGCAGGTGCAGCTCTTGCGCGAGGCGAGATCTAGCCGAGATCTAGCCGAGATCTAGCCGAGGTCTGGCCCAGATCTAGCCGAGATCTGGCCGAGATCTGGCCGAGGTCTGGCCGAGGTCTGGCCGAGGTCTGGCCGAGGTCTGGCCGAGGTCTGGCCGAGGTGAAGTGTGCGGTGCCGCTCCTGCGCCCTCCTCCACCTCCTCCCTCTTCCCTCTGCTCCGCACCTTGGCCCGCACTCTTCACCCTCACCCCTACCCCTCACCCTCACCCTCACCGCAGGCGGGCGTCGCGTGGGACCTGATCTACCTCCACTCGGCAAAGTACTCCCGCGCGGCGGAGCCGCCCGCCCACCCCGCCTCCTCCCTGCTCGTGGCCGGCCACCGCAAGGTGACCCTATCCCCTAGCCCCTCGCCCCAAATCGGCCTCCGAAATGCTCGTGGCCACCGCACAGCAGTAGCGGGCAGCCTTCCAAAAGACCGGGCCCCCCTCCTCCGGAGGTGTGCGACGCGTACGCCCTCTCCGCCTCCCATATCTCCCCAGATCTCCCCAGATCTCCCCCATATCTCCCTCCGGAGGTGTGCGACGCGTACGCCCTCTCCGCCTCCCATATCTCCCCATATCTCCCCAGATCTCCCCCATATCTCCCTCCGGAGGTGTGCGACGCGTACGCCCTCTCCGCCTCCCATATCTCCCCATATCTCCCCATATCTCCCCCATATCTCCCTCCGGAGGTGTGCGACGCGTACGCCCTCTCCGCCTCCCATATCTCCCCATATCTCCCCAGATCTCCCCCATATCTCCCTCCGGAGGTGTGCGACGCGTACGCCCTCTCCGCCTCCCATATCTCCCCATATCTCCCCATATCTCCCCCATATCTCCCTCCGGAGGTGTGCGACGCGTACGCCCTCTCCGCCTCCCATATCTCCCCATATCTCCCCATATCTCCCCCATATCTCCCTCCGGAGGTATGCGACGCGTACGCCCTCTCCGCCTCCGGCCTGCGCAAGATCGCCACCTGCGGCTTCCGCGCCTCGGTCTTCCCCATCGACGACTTTCTGCCCGCGCTGCACTCGCCCCACCCGCGCGAGGACGTGATGGCGCTTCCGTGCGTCGTCGCGGCGCGCGGCGGCACGGGCGGCGAGGGTGGCGATGGTGGCACGGGCGGCGAGGGTGGCACGGGCGGAGAGGGTGGCGACGGAGGCGGCGGCAGAGAGAGCAGGGGGGTGTGCGAGGGGCCCTTTGTCGCGCTGACCTTCCCGGACGGCGCCAGGCTGGTGGAGGTGGAGGCGGCGGCGGCGGCGGCGAGCGACTCCAAGGCGGGCGTGGCGGTCTCCGTGCTGCTCGGCGACGCGGGCGTGGAGGTGGAGGGCGGCGGCAAGCAGCTGGGCGGCGGCGTACGTCCCTCGCCCTCCACGCCCGCCGACCCCAGCCCAGCGACGGGGGAGGAGTCGAGGCGGGGGGCGCTGCGCCCCCACTTTGCGGGCCCGTCGCTTGCGGCGGCGCTTGCTGGCGGCGCGGGCGGCGGGCTGGCGGCGGCGGCACGGTCGCTCGCGACGCGCTCATACGCACTACTGCGCGCGTCGGAGGCGGAGGCGGCGCTTCTGCGGCGCGCGGAGTGGGGGATGCGCGCCTTTTGCGCTGGGTGCGAGGGCGAGAGGAGGAGGTGCGTGGGGAAGGGCGGGCGGCGGGGCGAGCTGCTGCTCTGGTCGTGTGGCTACTCGGCGTGGCCCGAGCGGAGGCAGTTCCACGTCGTGTGCGGCGCGCCGGATGCACAGCCGTGGCCCGGCGCCGGAGAGGCGGGTGGGGAGGCGGGTGGGGAGGCGGGTGGGGAGATGCGGTCGTCGGTCCTCGAGGCGGCCTCGCTGTTGCGCGCAGTCGCGCTCGGCTGCGTCGCCGCGCTGGCGGAGGGCGGGGCGGTGCCTGCTCGGCTGCCGGGCGCGTGCGCGGCGGTGCCGGCAGACGAGGACCCGTCGGTCTTCGACCTCTTCGAGTACGAGGCGCGAGGGCCCGCCGCCGCCGCCGCCGAGGAGGGCGGCGCCGAGGGGAGCGAGGTGGCGATGACGGAGCACACCGACCCTGGCGTGCTCACGCTCACCCTCGCGTCCGAGATTGGCGGGATCCAGGTGCTCGACGCGTCGCTCGGCGAGTGGGTTCGCGTCGAGGCCCTCTGCGATGCGAACGACGTCCTCGTGCTCGCGTGCGACCAGCTGCAGGCGGCGAGCGAGGCTGCCGCGGCCGTTGCGGCCGCCGCTCCCTTTCCCGCCACCGGCGGTGCGCGCGAGCCGCCGCGGGACGCAGCGAGGGAGCGGGCTCTGCAGGCGAGCCGCCACCGGATCGTGTGCGAGGAGGGGGGGGCGCGCGTGTCGGCCGTGTACGAGCTGCGCTTGCCGGAGCGGGTGCTCTGCTCGTCTCTAAAGGCGGTGTGACTGTGTGAGCAGTCAGCAGATGGTGCGTGTCGAATGTTGTAAAACTTGTACGTTTAAGGTTTATGTCATTTGAGTATAAATAATTAATGTGTGTCTAAAGCCGTATCGCGTATGCAACTCCATTCCCTCGCTGCTCGCCCTGGGTCCTTGTGCGCGGTTGTGCTTGAGTGTGGTGGCATCCCGCTTCCCGGCCGGCGGATATCGCCGGATTACTCTCATATGCGGCGTTGAAATATGCGCCTCTTCTTTGGGGTGTGCTTTCACCAAGCAAGGCAAGGCAAGAGGAAAAGTGGTTTCTCTGCACATGAGGTTTGTGAGTCCTTGGCCTGAACCGTGTGCGTGCTGCGACCTCTCATCTCCTGTAAAACTTCACGTCACTCTGCAGCACGGCCACGTCAGCGTCACGCATCGATCTCGTGTTCTAACTTGCGTTGGAGCTTCCATTCGAGTTGAATGCTGCGCCGAGGGCATCATTGGCGTTGGACGTGCCTGGAGTGGAGTAGCCGCTGCCCAAGCTCCGCTTCTTGCGGGGTGGCTCCATGGCTGCCGTATCAACCACGTCGTTGGAGGGCAAGCGCAGACTCTCAGCTTCGTTTATCTTCTGCTTTCTTCGAATCTTCAACTCATCGCCCTGCACTGTGTCGTATGCCGCAACCAGCTTGTCCACGCACTGATCCACTTTCTCGTAGAATTGCGTACGACGGACGTTCAAGCCGCGTGTCGTCGCTTCATACATGCGCTCATATCGCAAGACCGTCCCTTCTGTAAGACCACCTGCCTTCTCTGTGGCCGCCAGCACTTCAGCACTCTGTGACACAGCAGCACGGCCGGCAGTGGCAGCTTCGCGCGACGCATGTTCGTAATTCGCGTCAATACTCGCATGCATGCACGCCTGCTGCTTCACCAACGCATCGGCCAGACGTTTTTGGAGCATCAGCTGGATGATCGGGGTGGTGAGCAGCTTCTCAAGCAGAGGTCCTTCCACGGCAATGCGGAAATTCTCCTTGCGAATCGCGGTCAAGTTCGCTGCTCCTGGATTTCCCCAGTCGCACTGCCGTGCTAGCTCTAATGCGCGTTGAGTTGCATGATCATGTGTCAAAGTCACCTCCACATTTTGTGTGCGCATCTGATCCTTTGCAATGAGTGCTGCTCGCACGAGCCGCACCCAGTCGTGCCACTGCAGGTGGCCGCCACCATCTTCGTCGAACGCATCAAAGAGGACGTCGAGCAGCCTTTTTGTGGGCTGCACCAGCGCGGTGTCTTCGTCGAAGGCGGAAAAGAGGCTCATGCCGCTACCAAACTTTTCACTCAGTCGCGCCACGCCAGCAGCGCGCAGACGAGTGACTGCGATGAGCAGTGACTTCGTTTCAGTCAAACTTGTTTGAAACGGCTGCAGCGAACATTTTGTTTCAATCTCATTCTCTCTCTCTCGCCCTGGGGGCCTCGTAGACCCCCCGCAAGCAGCGCACCTCCTGTCTCTCCTCTCCTCCTCCGGATATCGAACGTGCTCGGCACCGTCCATGGCACCGTCTCCCAAGCAGCGAGCGCGTGATGCGTGCGACCAAACCCGGGGGTGACGGCCGCAGGCGCACCCGACGCGCACACCATTTACACGATGAGCCCGCACAATGAGCCCGGTCCGGCCACGAAGGCCCATGCGCAAGAGCGCCCGCTCTCTCGCTGGGCGCTCTCACACATGGTTCGCCTCAGTCGTAGCTCGGCCATGCGACTGGCGACTCGCAGAGCCGGTCGGGCCGCTTCGTCACGGCGCGCTTCTCCATCTGCGCGTGCACGCGGCGGCTCTCCTTGTTCTCCACCGTGGCCACCACCTATTTTCAAAACCGCGCGAGCCGACTAAAGGCGACGAATAAGACTGAGCCGCCGGCGCGATCAAGGCGCTCGCACGTGGGCCCGCAGGGAGGCGACGTTTGCGTCGCTAGGCCAGTTCTCCGAGGCCTCCGGCCAGAGCCGCGCTGCCTGGGCGCGCAGCGCCGCCTCCGACATCGACCCGACGGCGGCCTGCAGCTCCCGCTTGCGGTGGTGCGCGTCGCGCCACCGCCCATCGAGAGTAGCGTCGGCCGCCGGCGAGGACAGGTCGCCCGCGACGCGGCGGGCGTCTTGGTCGGCCTCAAAGTCGACCCGCTCTTGCAACGCGCGCGGCGTCGTCCGCGGCAGTCCCTTCTTGCGCAGCATGGCTGCGAGCGAGTCCGGCAGCGAGTCCCCGTCGTCCGCGGTGTGGTACTCCTCCTCGTCATCATCGTCGGTTCCCGCCTCGTCGAGCAGCCGCGCGAGCCAGAGCGGATCGCAGCGCATCGTGGCGCACGCGATGCCGGCTGCAGGAGGTGCCGCGGTCTGAGCCGCTGCCGGTGCCTCGGTCGGCCCCGCCGCTGCCGACGAGCCGCTTGGGGTCGGCGGCCGGTCGAGCAGCTGGTTGCTCCATCGGAGCCCGGCGTTGGAGAGCGGGAAGGAGAGAGCAGCCACGCCGAGCTGCGCGATGGAGGCGGCCTCAACATCTGCCGCACAGAGCACGCGCTCCCGCTCCCGCGCCAAGGCGACGCGGCGGATGTCTTCCCACTCTGTCATGCGCTTGCCAACTTGCGGGGTCGCGACGGTCTCCACCGCGGCCTCGGCGGCGTCGCCACTCCCGAGGCACGGGCCGGAGGCGTCGTGGTCGGAGGCGGCGCTCGCCAGCGATGGCTCTCCCACGGCTCCCCAGCGCGTCGCCTCGTCCTCCGTCTCCTTGAGCGACACCGCGGCCGACCCGTGCGCCGGCGCCCCGGCTGAACCAGGCGACGACCACCCCTCTCCGGTGCGTGAGTAGCCGGGCGAAGGGTAGGCGTAGTGCTGCTGCTCGACGTACTCGCCGGAGGTGTGCCCGCCGCCAAACTCACCGTACTCGTAGTACTCTTCGGGGTACCACGGCTGTTGCCGTCCAGACTGTGGCACGGCCTGCTGTCCCCACGGCGGCAGCAGCTTCTCCCTCGCGGCCATCGGCCACTCGGGGCTCGCGGCCCGCCATGGGGTCGCGAGCGGGCCGACTTCTGAGGCGAGGCAGGGGATTTCGCCCCCCGAGCTTGTCGCCCACTTGACGAGGTCGGGGCAGAGGCACCTGTATACTCGAGGCGGGGAACGTTCATATCCGAAGAGCAGACGAAGGGAGGAGGGGGGATGGGGGCGGGCGAGGCGCACTGTGGCAGGCAAGCGCCCTCGAGGCAGCGCTCGATCAGGTAGCAGGCGATGCGCCAGCCCGCTCGCGAGCAGACGTATTGCTAAATGATAGTACGGAGGCAGTGTGGTCGGAGGGCGCTCGGGTCGCCTCGGAGCGGCCCCGGGAGGTGCGTGGGTGGAGGGCGGGCACCTGCCCGTCCGACGTTGGCTCCGAGACGAGACCCCAAATGTGCTGGAAGACGGCGTCGAGCAACTGGTTGTCGACAAGATCACGAAGGCCGAAGCTGAGGGACGGAAGCGGGAATCAGATGCGGCTTATATAGTTCAGATGCGGCGTGAGAGCGGCGCTGCTCACTACATCGTGGCGTACGGAAGGCACGCACGTCCGTGCTGCGGCAAGGAGGCGTGTCGCACGACGCGGCTGTATTCCGTGTCGTACGTTAACGCTCGGGCCGCGTCGAGCGACATCTGCGACGGCACAGGGCGGCGCTGTGTGAGCGGCGGCGCTGAAACGCGAGAACGGCAGAGTTTCGCGGAGAGTACGTCGAGCAGCGCTGCGCTTGTCTACCCTTCGCCCGGCTACTCACGCACGGACGCCGTTTTTACCTGCGGTGGGCGCGCCAGCGAGCAGCAATGGCAGGTGAGTCGCTGTACTCGCAGTCTGCGGGATTTTTTTTGCTTCATGGCGCAACCGTCGCCGGCGCGCGACACGTTCCCGTCAGCAGGACTGTCCTGGTCGAGAGTGTGTGCCGCCAAGGCGGGACCACTCGGGGACAGTGCCGACGGGACGCGGCTCGAAGGGCGTGGCTCCGCAGCACGACTGGCACTCGTCGCAGAGGCCTCGCATTCGACAAGTCGGGAACGGCTCTACCCGCAACTTTCTCGCTAACACGCGCGCACCGCCGAGCCTGGGGCGGGCGCGCTGCGGCCGCACGTCTAACTTCGTCATAGTGCCACGACGTGCGGCCTAGATTTAGCCCACGCGCCTCTGCTCGCAAACACTCACCCATTTGATTGTCACTGTCCGTGAGTGCGAGAGAAGGCTAGCCGCAGGCAGCTAGCCCGTGAGGAGAGCGTCCATAGACACCTCACTTAGACCCCACACACGGTCTCGTCCGTGCCTCGCCGGCCGGAGAGATTGCTAGAGGTGGAGCATGCTGCTCTAGCCTCACATGTCACTTCCTATCGTCTGTTGTTTGTTGTGCCCTTGTTTGTTTCTCTTGGCACCTTGGAGTGCTGGGGGGGGCGACAGGGAGGATGTGGCCTTGAGTTATGTGTACGCCAACTCAGGGTGTGTGGCAGCCAGCTGGCTGTGTGTCTTGTGAGCTTGTTTGTGTCTGTGTGTCGCTCGTGCGTGTCGTCATCATCTGTCTAGCGTCCACCCATACCGCGTTGGTGTCCAGTCCGAGCCTGGCTGTTCTTCACCTTTCTACCTACCTACCTATGGTGTGTGCGCGACCGCGGTGTTTCGACACCGTTCTTAGGATCGCTTTTCAAACTTGTATAAGCGGAGAAGCTGAGTAGATAAGTCACTAGTCAGTGGAGAGACGTGCTGCGCGCGCCTCTCTGGCCAGAGAGCACTGTGCTGGCGCCCTGGGTTTCTGATTGCCTCAAGATTTTTCAATGTTTCGGGAGTTCCCGCAGAAAGCGGGATTGAGTGCGTTGAGCGAGGCAAAAAGCAAAATAGTTAATAGTTAGAGGCTGCGCAGGCCGTCCCGTTTGCATGTTTGCATAAAAAACGCCTGTTGCGCTGCGCGCGCGCGCCGGGGCTCTGTCTCACTCACGTGCCGCAATATGTGTCACTACTGGATGGCGGCCACTCGGGCGACGCTCGCGAGGTAGACGAGCGCCACAGCGGGCCGCATCAGCGAGAGAGAGAGAGAGAGCGACTTAAGGAGGATAGCTTGTCAGCGTAACACAAAAAAAGAAGGGCGATATCGACAACACCTCAAGGGACTAACACGATCCTGCAAAAGGGAGCGCGAATGCACTAAGGTGGCTACGCCTCATCCTGCAAAAGGGAGCGTAGAGAGGGGTGAGTCGTCCTGCAGAGGAGGTGTGAAGACGCGAAGCGTGGGTTATGAACAGACGAGAAGGCCAGTGCGCGCTATGTGAACAGAGTGAGTGTGCTGGGCGCTGGGAGTGAGAGGATGAGAAAGTGCCCGGGAACAGGTATGAGAAATAAACGGCGCGGTGGGCGTGCGCGCGGCACGGTGACGTAGTGTATCACACACAGATCTCTCGCCGACTCAAGAGACTCGACTTACTTTCTTTTCTTTAAGTTGCGATGCTCCCGTGTGATTGACGCGTGAGGGAAGCGATATCCCTTTTTTGCGCCCGGGCCGGCCACATGCTGTCGCAAGTACGAATCCGCGGTGCCCACACGTTTGCTCATTTCAGCATAGCCCGAGCCGAGGCGCCGCCGACGAATCTGGTATGTAGAAGACGCCGGCTGGTAGCCGCATAGTGGCGGGATCCCGAACGTGGCCGGTCCGCTGGATGTGCTTGAGCAGCTCCTTGCGATTCCGGTACACGGCGCCGCACACCTGTGGGAGGCAAGGGGGTAGTCGACGCGCTGCCGGGGGGGAAGGGGGGGGGGGGGGGCACAAAAGGGGGGGGGGGGGAGGCACCAACCCCGGGGCTCATCTTTTCTCGGGAGGGTTTCCCTGGCCAGGTTGTTGCCCGCCCCTTGCATGTGCCATATGCAAGGGAGGGTAATCTCGGCTAATCTCGGCTGATCTCGGCCTTGCACCCAAGGCCGGGAATGGGGCGCGCCGTCCGAATGCCCTCCGCCGCCGCCGCCGCCGGGGAAGGGTCCCCCCCTTTCCGGTTGGGGTGCCGGCCCTGGGCCGCCGCCCCCGCCGGGGGGGGAACAACCTTTTCCGGTGGAGCCTCCTCCGGACCGTTCCCTGGTCCCCCGTGGGGCGGGTCACCGCTTTGCACTGGGGGGTTTGCTCCTTTAACGATGCCGGCCAACCAAAAAAGCGCCTCCTCCTCGGCCTCCTCGGCCTCCTCGGCCTCCTCGGCCTCCTCGGTGCCCTCTCCATTTTCCTCCCGGAAGCGGGAGACCTGGGTTAAAATGAATTGTTTTCGTAAAA